GTTTTCCCACTGAACAGAGAATGTTTGTGGGATTTGGAAATAAATCACCTGAACAAACAACACCGACGTCCTCAGCAATCGCTGCCTGGGCTGTCTCAGACATGGAGTTGTCACAGAGAGTCAGACGAGTCTCATTTCCTGCACACTGGACCCTTCTCAGCCCCACGGGGCCCGTTCCTTGCTCAGACTTAGAGGGGTTATAAACTTTCTCAGCGACTCCACACTGGAGCTGTCTGCACACCACGCTGGCATCGTTCATGTCCCACTGGTCATCCAGCACTCTGCCCCATGCACCACGGAGGGAAATCTCGACTCTCCCGTCACACCGGCTCTCTCCATTCAGCAGTCTGAGTGATTCAGAGCGACCTGGGCTCAGGAAAGATGGGAAATACACTGAATAACACTCTCTGTTATACACTAGAAATAATACAGAGTGTGCATGAAATTATGGACTGTTTCTCAATAAGAAGATATAAGCCAGTGATCAGAATGTGTCACAATGTTAAAGGGAACAACCTCTGTCAAAAAACACTTATTGTTTTGAATCTATAAATGGAAGGTGCTATAAGGATTGTAAAACTCTGAGCTTGACACAAGGGCTTGCCAACAGACCCTCTAAATGAGTGAGTGACGGAATTCCTGCAGATTACTGATTGGGAAAATAGTCTCTGTGTGTGGTGGTGGAATGGCTGCTGAGGTTTGTAGTCACTTTATTCAGCTTTAAATGACTGGAAGCCAGTGAACGGTGTCTGCACAAGCATTTTACAGGTGGGTCGTAAATGATTTAGTCAAGTTTGCCTTGAGGGAATTGGCCAATGGAAGAGCAGGGTTCATCCTGGTCAGGAACAGGTTATTGTTGGCAAATTCCCTTAGTTCCCTCTGATCTTTGCTCAGTAGGTGGCAACTTTCTTGGTTCCCCTGTGTCCAGTGCAGGAGCTCCTAGTGTTAGATAGTTCCTGGCACTGGTGGTTCTGACTGGAGCTGTCCCCTGAAATGTGGTGTCATCTCTGAGTCCAGCATGAGATTCCAGCTGATCAATACACACCACACTAAGCAGGTTGTGTGTGGAGCAGGGAAGGGGACGTTCTCCGTTGGTGAATATTGTGACTCCCTTGGGATGTGAATCTGAGTCTTTGTGTGCGTCTCAGAATCAGTGAGTTCTATAGCAAGGTGGTAAGTTAGGAATTACTCACCGAGTTCAGACCCAGGTGCAGCCAGGAGAGACTGACAATATTAAAAGACAACAGCAGGGTCAGTGCAGGGGACACCCAATGACTGTGTCAGGTACAGTATGTACTAGTATGGCTACCTGACAGGTGCAGTGTGTGTGCACTGGAACCAAACAGCTGAAGGATCTTGGTAGCCAAATAACATTTCAAGGCCAAGAGTGAAATCCTGGCCCCACTGAAGGCAA